TATATATATATAGAGTGTAGCAACTGTACATTGATTGAAAACCATGCTGACATAGGAAGCATTTTTGTTAAAGTAGATATCATAAATCTTGTTCTTGTAGTCCAAAAATTTACAACTTAAGAGTTTTATTGACCACATATAATTATGAATCATAGCTGGTTTTGCTTTAGAGAGCCTGTGACTTCTTTTGTTCATACGATCATCAATGGGACGGAAAACAAAAACAAATGCTTGAAAGTTTGCTGTTCCTCTGCCTGCAATGTCAGCCTCCAGTGAACCCTAAATCATAACAAAGTTCTCAAATTAGCCTAACTGCACTGACATTTTTACACTTTATTTGTAAAGCTAACATTTTCTACTCTGTATCTTTGGAAACCAATTTGCTCCGCAGTGGGGTTAGACCTCCCTTTTTGTTTTGGAGAAATACACAAATCATTTCACTCTCTGCCTACTCCCCAAAGTTCTTAAACAACTGAAAAGTAATTACAAGTCCTACGTCTGGCAGAACTTGGGGTATGAAAAAAAAGCCTCAATTTCTAACACACAGGGATTATTATGTAAAAGTACACAAAGCGTTAATCCAAAAGAAATTAGCAGGATTATTTACATAACAAATTAGCTATAATAAAACACAAAGTAATCTGTTTTAGGTCGAGCACTGTGCTGCTTGGGCAGCCAGGCAGGCTGGTAGTGTTTTGCTCTGTGTGAGGTCCATGTGTAAACACTAATTTGGAGATAGACAGGCACATCACTCCGACTCTGGTATCAACAAATTAGCAGTCTGTCGGAGTCAATTAAACCGGGGGACCCAAGGCTAACATATGGACACCTTACACTCTGGCTGCAGAACAAACTTCAGCTGTGGAGGGGGGAAAAAAAAACATCTAAACTTTTTAGTCAAGGGGTTGTTTGGGATTGTGTCAATGCAACAGGTGGTGCAACCCCTGAGAAGAACCTGATGTTCTTTCCTGGCATACACAGAATAAATCTTTCAAAGCAAACTGCTTAAAAAGACTAAAAAAAAAACTTTAACTCATCTAACTCTGAGCATCAGCACATATAAAAAAAAAACAAACATTCACATTTTTCTACACATTATTCAGCTGAAAAAAGGGGAGCATTGCGCTGGCTGTGGGTATACGTGTGGAACGCTCCTCTGTCTCGGTGTCCTCTGCTCTCATGCCATGCAGTGCTGCAGGCAGGCCTGCGCTCCTGCTCTAAATTGCCCATTGACTCTGTGTGCCATGGGCTGGCACAAGGTCTAGAGAGAAGGATTTGTGTGCTCTCAGCCATGCCCTGCGTCCATATGTTGCTGGGATGGACTCCAATATTGCCATCATCCAACCTAGAACAAGTGTGTCTTTGTTTGTTGTGGTTTTGCTGAATCAAAATGTGCACAATCCTTAAAAAGTGAGGAGAAAATAGTGGTGAGGCTAAAAAGAAAACTACGATCTTTAAGCTGAAATGATTGCAATGGATCTGATAAAACTGGTAGCGCAACAAAGCTCAACTTCACGTGACAAGCTGTAACAACTTAACAGTAAAACTGCCAGCTGAGTGAAAAAAAAACAATTATTTTAAAATAATATCTACAGCAGCTTTCACAGTAATACTTTTTCCCAGAATTTTATTGTGCTTTATACCCTGTTTATGTAGATATGGAGGAATTGGTCAATAATCATTTAGTTTAGGCCTCAATATTTTCTATACCTAAACATTTAGGTTAAATGTCTAAACATAACCAAGCTGTGATAGACTAAAAGATCACAAAAGTCAACTGTAAAAACTAGAACAATATTAAGGGGTGCCATGGGGATGCATTTGTTAGAGCTGTTGTTTCTCAGCATGAAGGTTTGCAGATAGTTTGGTCTCTCTGGGTTTTAAATGGGTACTCCAGTTTCCTCTAACAGATCAAAAACATGCCTGTTAGGTTAATTCATATGTCTATTTTTTTCTTAAGTTTGGGTGAGAGTGAATTGTAGATAATGGATGGATGGATGAATGGATGGATGGATGGATGGATCATCTTATGATGGGAGGAGATGGAGTTATAGCTGCTTTGTTACACAATGTAAGAACTTTTGTTCTATTATTGCTCTAGTAGTTCAGTCTCAGCTACATTAGATTTAGCTCAATATCTGTAAAATAGTCTGAGTAAAGAAAGCGCTCGACTAAAACTGCCAAACAGCAAGTGGAAGCTTCAGTGACACAATTGATTTGAATTATTTGGACCAAAGTCTGTGCTGGTAAACAAACACGGTGGAATCAGACAAACATTGACTCTCAGAGACCACCTAAGACCTTTAGGTGGAGATAGAAGAGTGAATTGTTGCTGAACACGAACAAAGAGAATAAGTAAGATGACTGTTAAAAACAATAAAAGCTAAAGCAGGGTTAATAGAGCAACATGAAGACTGAGCTGTTTTCAAACACATTAAGTTTTTTTGAAACTTCTTTGAAACCGACATGTCTGACCTATTTTCAGTCACTGTTGTTTCCATAGGTGAACAAAAGGATACGTTAATCTTAACAATACGAGAAAAAAAAAATACTGTGCAGACTTTATTACTTAGTGTTTTTTTCCATACTTTTTGTGACTTTGCAATAAGTTGCTTAAATAATGATACATAATATAATAATACAATTAATGCCAATGTTGAAAGCGATGCAAGGCATTTGGAGTATGTGTTGGTAATGACCCTCAGCTACCACCTCACCAAATTTTAGCTTAATATGTTTGCCTAGCTGCAGCAGCCATCTTGAATAGATTCCAAACATGAATCGTCGCATACCCGATGATAACTTTCTGAGAGTTGCATTCGACTCTCACAAACAGCTCACGCCCATATACACACACCCAGACGTGGGCTTAAAAAGCTATTGCCTTCAGTGGCAGGTGATAACAAAATGTAAACAAAGACATCCCACCCACCCCCAAAAAATAAAAAATTAAAAAATTAATAAAAACAAAAAACATTACCACACCTTCAGCTTCAGATAAACTTTAAAATTTCAAACATTGAAAGTATTACATCAGAATTTGTTTTTTTGTATAAACATACATAAAAATGACCAATTACCCATAAATGAAAACAAATGGAACTGTTTCACAAACTTTTGCAAGACTGCACTATAACACTGTTTCACTTTAAAAACCATAAATGGTGTGTGTGTGTGTGTGTGTGTGTGTGTGTGTGTGTGTGTG